TTAATTTCATTTTCTTCATAGCATTTCTTCTTTTGTGCCCAAACTTTGTTTTCTGTTTTCCAAAGTTCATTTAATCTTATATACAATTCTTTGAACTATACTGTTTCTGTCTTAGGAGATATTATTTCTGATGTTTCGAGTACCTTGCTAATTTTATCTTTATCTTGTGATTCAATTTGCTCATTTGTACTCTGTTTGCATTTTCTGCACAGTTTACTAATTACTCTAACTTTTCTTCTAGCTTCTTGAAACTTAGAGCTAGATGTATACTTTAGTAGAGCTTTTTTACTTTGCTTTTTTAGAAAACATTTTTTTGTTACTTGTTTAATATACTCTTTAATTATACTCTATCTCTGGTTTAGTTCTTCCCGAGGCATTACTTCTTTATTCATTTTTATACTTTTTGATGCTGGCTATCTCTTTTCTAACTCTCTGTCTAAAAATTGTTCATATTTTAGCCAATCCTCATTTTTAGTATTTTCTATATCAAAAGTTAAAGTTTTTGATTTCAATCTTTTACTCTTTGCTTTATTGTTTATCTGAAGCCCTATATCTGTAATAATACTTGCTTGAAGCATCATGTAATCACTTGCTGTTATATTGTCTATATTTACAATATCTACTTTTAATATATTGTCTCTAATTTCTTGTGATATTTAGATATAGTCTATACATGTTTCAGAGTCCCAACTCTTCCAAGTATATCCCGAGTCTTTAGGATTTACCCATCTGTATGCATCTATAAAGCCTTTTACTTCTAAAAAAGAGAAGAGCTCATCTCTCTTTGCTTCACTCTTGTGTATTAATGCCTCTTCATACTGTTTAGCATTAAAGTCTCCCATAACTATGAATCTATGTTTTTTTTTGTACTCTTTATCAAGTTTGCATCTGATAAATATTTGAAGCTTTCTTCTTGTCTGTTAACATTAGGTGAGGAATATATTACAATAATGCTATAGTCTACTCTTTTAAACATTAATACCAATTCTAACCCATAGACGTCTATTTTTTCTACTTTAGCGATATGTCTCGCCCAGATTTCATTTATTAGTAGCCCTATACTAAAACTTTTCTTTTTCTCATCTAAATTTTCTGTCCAAAAACTAATCATTCCACCCTCATGTTTAGTAAGCCAAGTTCTCTTTTTTTTCACAATATTTATTTCGCAAATTTCCAAAATATCTACCTTTTCTTCTATTACATAATCTATAAAAGCTTCCAATTTTGTTTTGTTGCTTTTAATACCATTAATATTATGAAACCTGATATTTAAAATATTTAGATTTTCTAGATTCATCCTTCTTGCACCTGGGGCCTCTTCTTTTATTATTTTGTACGAACATAACCCCTTGATCCTTGATTCAACCAGAGTGTCTTTAGAAGCTATATGCTATACCTTTGCCTTTGTCTCTTGCTTGATTTTCTAGATTAAATAATCTGCTTAGGATCTGGTTGAGCATTGCTTCTACCTTATCATTCTTATTTTGAAGGCAAATTTTGCTAATTTTTAGTTTTTCAGCTTCTTGGGCTTTGGATTTGAGATTCTTATATTCTGGCTTTGTGTTTTTATCAAATACTTGCAAAACATTTTTAGGTTTTAACTCTCGGCCTATTCTTGGATTTGCCTGTAATTTTGTAGCTTTATACAAGCTACTTGCCTCTCTGTCTTTTAAGGAGCTATTTGTTGCTATTGCTTTGTTTTTAGCCTCAGGTCTTTGGAAATTTTGTATATCTAAGTTATCTTTTTTATATTTAGATACCCACTTTAATTTTGTATTGTAGTAATATACTATATTCTTTTGTGCTTCTTGCATATCTACTTCATTCTCGAAATAGATGCTGGCTGTTTGTCTCTGATTGTTATTTCTGTTCTTAGATATATAAACCGCTTTGGCCTTAGTTTTTTTTAGTTGTCTTAGCATGGCTGTTTCTATTACTATTTTTGGCACTCCTTTTAGCAAAGCCTTGAACTTGCTTCTTTTTTAAAGTGTTTCTCCATCAAACTTGTTTTGTGTAACTCTAAACATTTTCCCTTCTGAATAGTGAGCAGCCTATGCTGTTTGGAAAGCCACTTTTTTCCTATCATCTTTTGAAGTTATTGATATATATACAGCTTTGCTTTTACTTCCTGTCATAAAACTTATTATTGTAGCTTTTTCATAGAAGCTAAGATATTTTCTAATATGTTTTGCACTAGCTTTGACAGGTATATCCCATAGTGTGATATTGATTTTGTTGGGTCTTTTATTTTCTTTTCTGCTTTTCTCTTTGCTTACTGTGGATGCCCATATTGACTTATATATATCACTCTTTTCTTCAAAAGTACTCTTATATTAAGAAGTATTGTTCTTAAATATTTGCTTTTCAAGAGTCTCTATCTTGTTCTTTTCTTCAGGCATATTGTTTGTAGTGCTTGTACTACTTTTTGCACTTTCGATACTCTAGATACTAATTCTTGCAATATTTTGTTTCTCTTGTAGTTCAAATTTTTCTTTTTTTTTTTCTGCAAGAGTTTTTTTATATGTTTCTTCTACTCTATAATCAGTTTGTCCACACTCTTGCATGATTAAGCAGTCTATTAAGTCTTCATTAACTTTGCTTTCCATTGTATTGATTTTACTATTATTGATAGTGCTATTTTTGCTATCTCTTACTCTTATATATTCACAGTATTGATATGTTTTTATAATATTTCTGAACAAACTTAGCACTTCAGAAGCTGCTCTTGTTAATATTGCTAATTCTTTGTCTATTTTTAAAATCTCTGCTTTGTGAGCTTCTTTTATGAGTCTAAATTTTTTCTCAGATTTTGTGAAGATATTTTTATATTTGTCTAACTTTCCGTACCAGTTTATATTTGTAGATGCTTTTTGAACATCTTGTGCTATCGTTGACTACATATTGATCTTGAATACTATTGTTTATTTTTAATCTGTGCAATACAACTTTAAGTCTTGTTTACGTGATTGTTTGTTTGTTTGTATCTTTATATATCATGCACTTAGTGTATTTATTTTTGCACCAAATTTGGACGCGTTCTTGTTTGTTTACTAGTTTCAGTTTGGTATTGTAATCAGATCGGTGCTACAAGGTCAAGCTAAATCTCCACTAAGTGCTAAAAATTTCTAAAATTATTGTTCATCTTTAGAAAATAGCACTGTTTTGTATTTTTCTTTTTATCTATAAGCTTGGCTCAATTATCTTTCTAAGTTGGTGCTATTAGTTTTTATTACTCTATCGCTTTTTTTAAAAGTATTTGTATAGTTTCTTAGTCCTAGTTAGCATTAATTTGCTAGTTTTCTTCTTGACTAAATTTGGTAGGAAGGATCAGCAGAAAGAGTTGTGTATATTTTAAATACTAAAAAGTTAAAATTATATAAATTTATTTAAAAAACTGCTAATATTTTTAATATAATATACAATCTGATATAAGCTAATTTGAATTATTTCGAATTATTTTAAAATAATTTGAAACTGTTCAAATAATTTAAATTAAAATTTGAAATTATTTTGTAATATTTTAGAATTTATTTTATAATATTTCAAATTTTATTTTATAATATTTTGATAAAGTTTATATAAAATTACAAAAAACATAGCATAAAAAATTTAAAAATAGTTTAAATTAATTCAAATCTATTTGAATTAAACTAAATATACTTAGTGTCAAGACAACAAATATTTATAAACTAAAAGTAATTTATTTAATTATATAAATAAAAATTAAAGTGAAATAATCAAAATTATTGCAAAATAATTTGGCAGAAATAACGAATTAAATTAAAAGCTATATAATAAATTGCAATATATTTAAAATATATAAAATTTTGTTAAATTAGATTAATTTAAATTAAATTAAATTTAGTGAATTGCTATTTCCACTATAGGTTATACAAAAATTTACAAAATTTTCTATTTTTAGTATTTATATAGTAAAAATTAGTTTTTTAAAGATAGGCTTTCTTATATTTATTTATATTATAAAAAATTTAATATGTTACTATCATGTATAATGCAGATCAATCACAATCTAAAAATAGACAATACGATTTTACTTGAACACTACCAATCAAAATTCATAATAACTAATATCGCATATCAGATATGGACATGCTGTAAAACATCATACAAGGTACTCTTTTTAATCAGTACTCCTTTTGATTTGTACCGAGTATGATTCAATGTCATAGAATATAGTATTCCTGGGGTATGTTTTAAGATTTTTACCACATGAAATTTAGCATACCTAGGTAGTTTGCAAGGTGTTTTATGATAAAAATATACTGTAGTTTAACATATACCATATTTACAAACTTTTTTGAATTAGTCTATTTTACTCTAGTTTTTAAAATCTAATTTACTTATCAAATCATATAGAAATAGTGACAATAAAACTAATAGATCAAACTAAATAAATTTCAAATAAGCTTTTCTAAAAATGCTTTCATTTTTTATTTGTTCTTATCGATATATATTTTTTAAACCTCAACTGCTATGCATGAATATTAGAATTTTCTAACTACTCTTCTTTTTTTTTCGTAGAAGTAGTCTTCACACTTGCAATACTAATAAGTGTTTACTATTTTCCAAAATATTTACAATTTGGTGGCTGTAGCTTAAAATAGAAGACTCAGGTTATATTCGCTTCAATTCTATTTTGTGTTGAATCACTCCACATAATATCAACTGCTTTAACAAATATCTTGCTTCCTTATATTTTTGAATAGTCTCCTTTTTGGTAGGTTTTCAAAAATCAACCAGATTTTAAAGATTTTTTTTTTTATATTTTGGCACTTGGATTCCATGAATATATCGAGTATATCATCTAATTTTATATAAGGCCAAGAAGGACCAAATAATAATTGTTGTGATACCACTTGGTTTACAATTTTTACCATTCATCTAGCCTCTGTTTCGATATTATACCAGCATGCATTATCTTTTTTTCGATGGTTATAGTTATCACAATTATTACATTAAACTATCGAAAGATCACCAGGCTATAAGAAACTCTGATATGCTTGTTGTTGACGACATTCATATACTGATTTACAATATGCTATGATCTCAAAAATTGAATCTTGCTTTCTTTGCAAATATTCATACCACTGTATTATATCTGCTGAGCTATTAGTTTCTAGACAGGCTTCTTCATCACTATAGTAATTTATATTAATCTTTTTAAATATAAATACTAATCAGTACTTTTTTTTGTTGATACCTTGGATGACCTTGTAAAATGATTAATAATAATATACGAATGTCTGAGCTTGAATACATAATAACATTTTTTGCTGCCACTCCATCTCAACTAGCATGGCCTGTTTCTTGAACTAATGCATCTATGGACATTGGAAATATAGTATGAATAACAGTATGTACATCATTGACATTCAAACCTATTCCAAATACAGTTGTTGCAGAAATTAATTTCAATTGACCATTTTTCTAAATTTCTAAATTTATATTTTGATCTTTACTCGGCATGGATCCATGATACTTTCTAACAATATTTAACCCAAAGTGTTTAGCTAAGATGTTATAATAAGTATCAAAATCATCAATAGTTGCAGAGTAAACTATATATCAATTAGAAAAATTTGATTGCACAAAATCTAATAATGTCTTTGTTTAATTTTTTTTTTGTGCTGGCTTATTTAGGACTTCCAATCGAATTTTAGATCGAGATATTGTAAAACTTTAGAATATTTTTAGATCTAATAATCCAAGGTTATCTTTGATTATTTGTGTATTTGTTTGGCTAAAAGTTGCAGTAAGAAGAAGAATTGGTGAAGAGAGGAAATCTTGTTTAAGTAGATTTAATTTAGCCTAATCATTTCTATAGATAATATATAATATATTAGTATTAGATTCTTTAGCAATGTTAATATTTTTATAACTTACTGAAAATAAACATATTGATTTATATAGTGTGCCTCATCAATAACAAATTGCAATTTTTGATTACATGCAATATTTTGTAATATACGAGAAAATGCTGGATTTTTTATATATTTCTTTGGAGTTACTAGTAGTATTCGTATAAATCCAGATGCAATTTCAGAAAAAATTGCTTCTTAAACATCATATGATTGTTCAGAAGATGCATATAACATAGCTGATGGGATATTTATATTTATTAGCTCTTGCTATTTTAAACTCAAAAAATTAAATATATAGAGGTGAGTCAGTAGAAAAGGGACAAATTGTTTTTAGTAAACTTTTTTTAATTTTTAAATTAAAATATTTTAACAACTATTTAATCAAATTTGCCAAAAATTTTTTTATTTTAATTTTGAAATTATATAAAATTAAAATAAAAAAAAATTTATTAAATTTAATAAAATAGTTGTTGAGATATTTAAGCTTAAAGTCAGAAAAACTTTTACTTAGAAAAAATCTGTCTCTTTTCTACTAACTCACCCCTATATTTGAAATATAATAATTAAAATAATTCGCTGTAACAATATTTACTATCTGATCTCCTATTAATGCCTTTAGCAAAGTAAAACTACAGTTAATCCCATAAATAGTAAAGCTGAAGAAGCATAAATAAAGATCTTTCCTTCAACAGTAGGTAAAATATACAAAGTATTATTTCCTGCAGTAAAACTATCAATACTTTCTCGTTGCTTTGGTCTGAATTCTGTAAAGTTAAACACTTCACTAACAATTGCATCTAATATTCTATTTTTTGAATCTGGTTCATCTTTGTCTTTATTGTGATAAACTCGATTTGGTATCTGCTAAGAGCAACTATGAATTTTATAAAAGCCATATACAAGACAAAGACTATTAGGATATCATATAGAAAAAGATTGGCAACCACCACACTTGATAATAGTCTTGAAATTAGGTATCTTTGTTGCAAAAGAAGGATGAAATTGTATAGTTTCTAAACTTTTTTGAACCATTTGACCATATGGTGCTAGATTCTACAATAAAAATATATATGAATACTTGTTATTTTTTTAAAAAAATATTTGATAAATTATTTATATACTTGATTAAAATTAAATCCTTCAAGACAAGCTTTCTGATTCATAATTTTTTGAGCATGAGCTTGATTTCGGGCTTCAATTTTAGCTACATTTGCTACACATTAATATTCTCTTTGTTTCTGTATCTTACTAATATTATGTATATCTTGATTTGAAAATTTATATAATTTGCCAACCTTTTTTATAATAGTTAATATCTCTACCAGGCCAATATTATTATGTAATATTGCTAATATATCACAGGTCGAATATACAAATAATAGTTAAATAATGGGATATGCCTTTATTGACCCGTTATTTACCCGATATGCATTTCGGGAAATGAATAATGGTAAACTAACAGATATCAGCATTAGG